GCTACCCTAGAGTCGGATTCGACTGGCTTTCGAGCAAGGGAACCTTTACCTTTACCGTTACACCCTAATAAATATTTGTATCTTCTTTCATTTAAAACCTGATGCAGCAAAAGCTTCTTTAGGAGACCATTTGGATCAGGAAACGGGCAGGTGGTAGAGGCATTTCCTCCCCTCCAAAAGTGGGCTTGCGTGCCCGACAAAGGGTGGGTCACATATCTTGGCCTACAGGCATAGCTTGGCCCTTTCCTGACCTCTTTGCTCTGGAGCCGGTCTGGAAGGTGTTTGGTTCTGGACGGGGCTGTTTTTCTCCTTTCTGCTTCCTCTCTTTATAGCTGTGGCTCTTGCAGGCAAGGAATCCTGGACAGAATGCTTCAGCAATCCCCAGTTCCTGTTTGAAACAACAAAAGAAAACAATGCAAGCAGAGACTAGGTCACCCAGTTCTCAGCAAGGAGGGATGACTTGAAGAGGAATGACTGCAAAGATGTCCTGTCCCCAGAGCACTCTGCAGAAGCCGCCGTTCTCTCATTCAGCAGTTATGCCCCTATGACTGTACGGATGAGTAGCAGCAACGGGAGATTATGAAATCAGCGGCAATCCGAGGGAAGCAGAACCTGAGGCGGACATCGTTCAGCCTGTTTGTTACACTCTTCGTTTGCTTGGTTTCGGCGAAATTGCCCAGGAAACGGGGGGAGGTCTTTGCTCAAGGCATTCTGTCCTCTTTGATAACAGGAACAAATGGCAGCAGCCGACAGCTGTGCATGACGTCAGTGGAGCCTCCATATTCAGAAGCAGTAGGCTTCTGAGGACTAGATGCAGCAGGGGACGGCCCCAGGCACTGTGGTGGTCCATTGGTGAGAACTTCAAAGCTGGTTAGGGCTGCCTCGTGCATTAAATGCCTGCCCTGAAAGTTCTTCCACACAGGGAAGATATCGATCGGGGGTCCCCAACGTGGTGCCTGTGGGTGTTTTAGAAAGTGAAAGGGGCTAGGTTGGGGTTTGCTCAGCAGGGCTCCTCATTGGCTCTGAAGATTAAAGGGCATCTTATCAAACAGAGCTTCCCCCTGAAATGTCAAATCCTTACTGTTAGAATTAGGTATAACCTCACTCCATGACATTTCTTATGGAAGCCATTTTGTGACTGGCCCCACCTCCGGTGGCAGCCATTTTGTGATTTTTGCCCACCATCCTGTGTCAGAATTCCAAAGGCGCCCGCAGGCTCAAAGAGGCTGGAGACCCCTGATACAGATCATCATAAGGGGCATTTGAACCCACGCGCACATGCTAGGAGGGACTTCATTGCCTGCAGCTTTGCAGAGCAGTGAAATACACTTTGAACTAACCCTTAAGATGCTCCCTTCCGAGTACAAACACAGCCGACGTAACGGGGACTTTCCCACCTTTGCATCACCGTGCCAATACTCGGTCACAAACTTGCTTATATTGCTTTCAGGCTCCCTGTTGGGTGGAGCTTCTCCACAGCCTTTCCCAGGCCCCGAAGAGATGTGTAAATCTTCTGCAGAAATTTCCTCATTCCACACTCAGTCATCGAAGATGGGGCGTTAGCCAAATAGGTGATAAGCCACAAATCCGACTCAGCACCGCCACCTCCGTCTCCTCACCCACATGAAAGAGAAAATTCCACCACAGGGTGATTCAGGGGAATGGAATCCCAGAGTACGAGCTCTCAAAAGCCCCCTTTCCTCCGCACCCTCTCAAGGTGAGTACGGAGAAGTCAGTAACCAACAACATGACCCACCCTGTCCTTTCTAAGATTTTTGACCCTGCTCTGGACTGGGATTGCTTTCAGAACACTCCCCCCCCCCCCGGGCAAGTTTATCCCAAAACCCCATCCTCGAAAGCAACAACTTCACGCCTTCTTGCTGTGTATCCGGATGGCAACAAATGAAGGGGGTTGCAGTATGACATAAACCAACACGATAGAACTACTGCAAATAGTGCAAATCATGCAAATTCTAATTTGTATTAATGCAACAATATTGAATCCAATCCATTGTACACTTACGTTTTACAGAAAATAAGGACGTCACAAGATGAAATGAAGACGTCAGCAGATGAAACTGGACGAACTCCGCCAGAGTTAACATTCGCTTCAAGGTGTCTTTTTCATACATAAGACCTCAGCTGTGCATCCACATGATCACGAATCTTCCAAATTGGACTTTCCTTTGTTCCAGAATTGAACTTGGTTGGGATCTTGAAGGTGCCACGGGGCTCAAACTTTGTTCTGCTTCTTCAGACCGAAACGAATGTTAACTCCGGCGGAGTTCGTCCAGTTTCATCTGCTGACGTCTTCATTTCATCTTGTGGCGTCCTTATTTTCTGTAAAACGTAAGTGTACAGTGGGTTGGATTCAATATTGTTGCATTAATACAAATTAGAATTTGCATGATTTGCACTATTTGCAGTAGTTCTATCGTGTTGGTGTATCCGGATGGAGCCAAGGGGCAAATACGGACGTATACAAAAATCTCTGGCTCTTAGTTGGTTTCAGTCTTAGAATGTAAGACCAGCCCTGCTGGATGAGACCAGTGGTCCATCTAGTCCGGCATCCTGTGTCAAATTCTTAAAATGTTTTTTTTAAAAACTACTACTTAGCTTTGCTTTATCCCATGACTTTACATGGGAAACACATTTCCACCTAGATGATCGTTTCAGGACAGCAGCCATGTTGATCTGCAGCAGAAGACTTAAATTTGAGCCCTAACCTAGATAGCCTGGGCCAGCCTGACCCTATCAGAACTTGGAAGCTAAGCAGGATCAGCCTGGGCTAGTATCTGGAAGGGCGACCTGCAAGAAGCACCAGGGCTGCCACACAGAGGGGAGCGATGGCCAACCACCTTTGAAACGTCTCTTGCCTTAAAAACAAGTCTAGCTCGCCACCTAGTGGTGCATGATGCTAAAAGAGCTAGAACTTCTGGCTGCTATATAATCTTAGGAACTCCTGGCTTAAGAGAGCCAACATGCCATAGCGGTTAAAGTTTGAGACCTAGGATCCTGGGAGACCAGGATTCAAATGCTCACTTTCTGCCACGCAAACTTGCTGGGTGACGTTGGACACATCACAGTCCCTCAGCCTAGCCTACATCGCAGGTGAGCACTGTGAGAGAAGGGAGAATGGGAGAACAATGTTCCCAGCAGCTCTGAGACCCAGGTGTGGAGAAAGGAAGAGATAAATAAACAAAAAGATAAAGGATGATGGGTAGACCCTTGGGCAGGAGCCCATCTGAACACGATTAAAGCCAAAAGAACAAATGGAGAATGCGAGTTACGATCTGCTCCCTTCCGCGCTTGTCCTCAGAGCAGCTTCTCAGTCCGGCAGACGGGCGTTATCCCATGACCGCTGGCTTGGATGCCAGCAAACTTTTTTTGGAAAGCTGAGCTGGCAGGAAAAATGCTGGAAGAAAGGAAGCAAGCGGAGATAAGCCACAAGAGGGAGGCCGGTCCCGTTCTCCTTGCCTGCAGGCCCTGCCGGGTCCCCCCTGGCCACTAGTGGGAGAGGGGGGAGGGAGGGTTGCCAGTTCCAGGCTGGGAAACTCCTGGAGATCTGAGGATGGAGTCTGGGGAGGGCGGGGACCTCAGTGGGGTGCAGTGCCAAAGAGTCCAACCCCCCCCCCCAAGGCATCCATCTTCTCCAGGGGAACTGATTTCTGTGGTCTGGAGATGAGCCGTCATTCCAGGGGGCTCCCGGGGTCCCACCGGGAGGCTGGCATCCCTCGATGGAGGGTCACCCAATCAGGGCCTTTACGTCACACCCCGTGAAAGACACCCACACTCTCTCTTTTTCTTAACATTTTATTTTCAGTTTCACAGACATTAAAATAAATCAGACGTTCCTTTTATAACTCACACTTTCCCAAAAAATAAAGTTTATCTTCCTATTTTAACAAGTAATATTTTAAACTAGCCTTTCCCATCCTTACTATAACTTCTTCATTTTCAGCCAGTCTTATATTATATCCCTTCTCGTCCACAGTTCTTACTCTGACTTATTTTATAATATGAATGCCAATGTACACACAGGGCCAGCTCACTCACTAGGCGAACTAGGCGATCGCCTAGAGCGGGCTGGCCCTTAGGGGCACCAAACTGCACCCGGCCCCTACTCTGGGAGTTTCTTGATTATTGGTTTTTGTAGTGTTGGGAGAGACTGCGGGTGGTGGGGCAGGCGGGATCTTCGCCTAGAGTGCAAAATAAGCTGGGGCCGGCCCTGTGTACACAGACATTCAAATCACTCAAAGGAATCCTTTTTAGAATTCACCCTTTTCCAAAAGCCAAGTTTCCTCTTTCTAATTTAGCAATTAGTATTTTTAACGCGCATTTCCCATCCCTACTATCACTTCTTCATCTTCTTCAGCCAGTCATAGATTATATCGCAACTCGTCCAAAATTCTTCTTCTGGCTCATTTTGTAATATTAAAGTCAGTTTGTCCATTTCAGCTCTCTAATGGGTCATGCAGGGCCGGCTCACTCACTAGGCGAACTAGGCAATCACCTAGAGTGGGCCGGCCCTTAGGGGCGCCAAACTGCACCCAGCCCCGTAGTCTGGGAGGTTCTTGATTATTCCTGTTTTTCATTCTTCCTAAAATGCCTTTATTTTTGAAAATTGGTGGGCGCACGGGGAAGGGGGTGCCAGAAGGGATCCCCGCCTAGGGTGCAAAATAAGCTGGGCCGGCCCTGGGGTCACGGGGCGGCTAGGCAGCGGGAGCAGGTTCGCCCTCGGGCGCGCAGAGCCCTCCTGCAGCCTTGTGGGAACCAGGGAGGAACTCCCGCCTGGCCGCAAGGAAAGCCCGGGAAGGAGGAGGCGGAGGAGGCGGCAGCCACCCTCCAAGCAGCGAGCCGAGGGAGCTCCCCTAGCGGCGCCCCGCCCTCCTGCCGCGCCCGAGGGCCTCCGGCGGGCGCGGCCCGGAATGG